AGACAGTATTTGCCCAGGAATTAATGTCAGCAAGCAATAAATGGCACCCGATTAAACTAAAAAGCTTCTGTACAGCAAAAGAAATAATCACAAAAGTGAAGAGAAAACACACAGAATGGGAAAAAGTCTTCAATAGTGACACATCTGACAGGGGCTTAACATCCAGAATATAAAGAACTCAAAAAACAAGGAACTGAGAAACCAAATGATCCAATTGAAGGATCGGCCAAAAATTTAAACAGAGAGTTCTCAAAGGACAAAATAAAGATGGCCAAGAAATGCCTCAAAAACTGTTCAACATCGTTAGTATTTAGGGAATGCAAATTAAAGCCACCCTAAGTTATCACCTTACTCCAATCAGACTGGCTAGGATCAAGAGAACAAATGATAGAAAATACTGGTGAGGATGTGGAGAAAGGGGAATGCTCACCACTGCTGGTGGGATTGCAAACGTGTGCAGCCTCTCCAAAAAACATTGTTGAGAACTCTTAAAAAAGTAAAAAACCTACCATATGACCCAGTTATACCACTCCTTAGCATATACCCAAAGGACTCATCCTATTGTAGAGATACTTGTACAACCATGATTGTTGCTGTTCCTTTCACAATAACTAAGAGACAGAAATAACCTTTGTCCCTCAACTGATGAGTGATTAACAAAAATGTGGTATATTTACACAATGGAGTTCTATTCAGCAGTAAAGAAAGATGAAATAATGAAATTTACAGGTAAATGGATGGATTTAGAAATTGTTACACTAATTGAAGTAACACAGACTCAGAAAAACAAACGATGTATGTTCTCCCTCATATGATATGTGGCTCCTAGCACCAAATGATTTTAAATTCCAGGTCCTTTTAATAAGAAGATGCTATACAGCAGTCCCTTCTGCATGAAATAACTACCATCGTCATGACTTCAGGTGAGCCTGATGGCTAAACATAGTCACAATTGGGCTTGCTGACAGTCGTCCTCATTCATTAAAGGAGTGCCAAGCAGGGTCACTGGACCGCCACCTGAGTGTCCCGCCACCCTTCCCAGACAACTAATCCAGCCTTTGAAGGCAAAATTGAGGAAGAACCCAATAGAGGTATGCTTTTGGAAGCCCTTGTTAAGAAACTCCAATGGACTTTCATATGAATATTTGAAAATTGCCCTGTTCTGACTATTTTCTAATTCCCTGTCAAGAACTTATCATGCTAATTACTCTTACCTTTATGTTTCCTTCAAGTCTAATATTCATGATTCAAGGACTTTCCTCTTCCCTTATTGACAAGAGTCATGCAATTTGGGAATCTTTTAAATATACCCATTGAAGGGGTACTCCAGTTGTCTCACCCTGCATCCCTGTTCAGCATGGAAGAAGCCAGAGCAGTTGGCGTCCCTATTCCCTATTGGCAATTTGGGTAACACTTTCAGAGGATGGAATGATAAGAATATGAGGTAGGAATTGGCTAGGTACTTAGTGTAAAAAGACCCCAAAGAAATGTAGCCAGTTTCCTGGCTAAAAGTCAAAATGTCCTTGGGCCTGTTAGCAACGTACTCCCTTCCAAAGACCAAAAGTGTCAAAAGTATTTGAGAGCTTGTTTCTAATCCTTAGAAGATTTTATGATTACCTCTTCAGAGGGGGGAATGTTGGAAGGGAGGGAATTGGCATGGATTTGGTCAAAACACCTTATATACATGTATGAAATTCTCCATAGTTTTTGTAAAAATTAAAAGAAATATAAATAAAATAGATGCTCTCATTTTCTTCTGTGAATCAAACATCAATTCCAATTAGAAATCATTTGTTTACCCACAAAACAGCCTTTCCACTATTACAACAGTGGGCATGTGTTACCTGGAAGTTTGGTATTGTAATACACTGTGTCCACATCTGAGTCAGATCATTGATGACTTGTTAGTCTAGACAGCAGGGAGAAACAATGTATTTTTAAGACACTGTGAGTTGTCTGCTTACTTCTCAGCATTCACTGTTGATGTATAAAAAGCTATCTAATTTTGTGCATGGATATATAGGTTATTAAGGTGGATATCAGATCTGAGGTTTTTGGTGGAGTATTTATGGTCTTTCAGTTCCAGAATTACACTGATTGCAAATTCTAATATGTTGCTTTTTCTCCTGTATTAATTACTTTGAAGTTTTTTCTTTCCTTCTTGCGCTTACTGTCAGCTGACGCACAACTCTGTGGGAGAAGTGGATGCCCCTTACTCTGTCCCGATTACAGTGGGAGTGATTCCTGATTTCTGCATTTAGTACAATGCTGGGATGAGGTCTGAGGCACAGAATCTTCATTTTCTTCTGTGTGTTCCTACTACTATCCACTTCAAAATTTTTTTCTTTTTGAACTTAGTAGTTTTAATTTTTTGAGAATTTTATATGAGTACTGTGTTTGCATCATTTCCTCTATTCCTGCTTCCCACCAAACCCCTCTCATGTCTCCCTGTTCTCTCTCAATTTCCTGTCTCTCATTTTATCGTTATTGTTTCACATACACTTAAACACATATACAGATAGAATGTACTGAGTTCATGTAGTTGTGATGATGTGGACTTGTGTTTAAAGCTGAGGACCTGAGATTAGATAACCCATCAGTGAAGAAGTCCTTGTAGAGAACTGACATCTTCCCTCCGCATTCATTGATTTCTTGTGGCTCTTCATCTAAGGCTGAAAACCTCTGTCATTGTCCCCATCTGAACTGGCATATCTACTGGTGTGGTCATTTTAGGTAATTACATTGTGGAGATTCCACAGGTGCAGTCTCCTTGTCATGTCAACAATATGCTATCTAGTGGCAGGTGTTCTGGTCCTGTGGCTCTTACAGTCTTTCTATCTCCTCTTTCTGAGATGTCCCCTGAGCAGTAGGTGTAGAGGTTGCATTATTAATCTACCATTTAGTACTAGGCACCACAGCATCATTGAATCTTTGTATTTTGATCATTTGTAGA